TGCCCTGCACGCCAAGCGCGGGGTCCTCGTGGCCAACGCGGGGGGCGGCGCCGAGGCAGCCCCTTCCACGCCTGAAGCTGCGGGCCGCAAGCCGCGTGCCGCAGCACAGGCCAAGAGGATCGCGGTTTCCCTCCTGCGGCGCCGCCGGGGGGAGACGTCGCTGGGGGCGGGGAGGGGCTGGGAGGGCATTGGAGGAGGAGTCGGCGGATGAGGGGGAACAGGTGCTTCTTCCTGGAAGAGTGGGCGTGAGGGTTTGGCCACTGGCCTGCCCTTCCGCACTGCATCGAAGGCATCGAAGGTGGAGAACAGTGCTTTCTGAATTGTCTTGCGTTGTGTTGCACCGTTGCGTGCCTCTGTACCGCCTTCGATCGCGTCGCAGTCGCATCGCGATCACGAGCATATTGCACATGACCATACAGGGCACGGGCGTGGAACATTCGTTTCTTCATCTTCCCTATTTTGGCGTCCTTATGTTCCTCCTCGGTTACACATATGTTCCTCCTCGGCTACACACTATGAGCACTGCTCGGCTCTCTCCCCTGAAGCTGTGCGGACGATGTCTCGCCCCTCTGCATTCGTTGTTTACCTAACAGCTTTTGCTGAACATTTTCTAGTGGTGTCAAAGGAGAGCATCTTGATGCCCCAGGGGGGTCTGGGCGGAACCCGGACAGGGAACCGAACGGATCCGCCAGCCCCAGGCATCCTTAGGAATTCTTAGGAATCCTTAAGAATCCATTCCCAGAACACCATTCCCAGGCCAAATTTTGAATGCCCGGAGCCAACTGTAGGCCACTTCGTGTTCTTCGTGTTCCCAGAACACCATTTCCAGGCCACATTCTGAATGCCCGGAGCAAACTATAGGCCACTTCGTGCTCTTCGTGTTCCCAGAACACCATTCCCAGGCCACATTTTGAATGCCCAGAGCCAACTGTAGGCCACTTCGTGTTCTTCGTGTTCCCAGAACACCATTCCCAGGCCACATTTTGAATGCCCGGAGCCAACTGTAGGCCACTTCGTGTTCTTCGTGTACCCAGAACACAACTCCTGCATCATATTTTCGTTGCCTGGAGCCAACTGTGGGCCACTCCGTGATCTTCGTGTTCACTTCGTGATTTTTTGTGTTCCCAGAACACCATTCCTGTACCATATTTTGATTGCCCGGAGCCAACTGTGGGCCACTTCGTGATTTTCGTGTTCCCAGAACACCAGTCCTGTGCCATATTTTGAATGCCCGAGCTGAGGCAGGCTGCGGCCGAGGCAAGCTGAGGCCGAGGCAGGGTGAGGCTGAGGCTGAGACACGCCGAGGCTGAGGCTGAGGCTGAGGCTGAGGCTGAGGCAGGCTAAGGCTGAGGCTGAGGCAGGCTGAGGCTGACGCAGGCTGAGGCCGAGGCAGGCTGAGGCTGAGGCTGAGGCAGGCTGAGGCTGAGGCAGGCTGAGACTGAGGCTGAGGCAGGCTGAGGCGCAGGCTGAGGCTGATGCAGGCTGAGGCTGAGAGGCTGACGCTGAGGCTGAGGCAGGCTGAGTATGAGGCTGACGCCGAGGCAGGCTGAGGCTGAGGCAAGCCGAGGCAGGCTGAGGCTAAGGCTGAAGGTGTGGCTCAGGCTGATGCAGGCTAAGGCTGAGGCAGGCTGAGGCTGATGCAGGCTGAGGCTGAGGCAGGCTGAGGCTGAGGCTGAGGCAGGCTGAGGCTGAGGCAGGCTGAGACTGAGGTTTAGGCAGACTGAGGCTGAGGCTGAGGCTGATGCAGGCTGAGGCCGAGAGGCTGACGCTGAGGCTGAGGCTGAGGCCGAGGCAGGCTGAGGCTGAGGCTGAGGCAAGCCGAGGCAGGCTGAGGCTGAGGCTGAAGCTGAGGTAGGCTGAGGCTGAGGTTGTGGCTGAGGCTGAGGCAAGCTGCGGCTGAGGCAGGCTGAGGCTGAGGCTGATGCAGGCTGAGGCTGAGGCAGGCTGAGGCTGAGGCTGAGGCAGGCTGAGGCTGACAGATATGCTTATACACATCGCTGTTAGGTTGCTTTGCCGGGATATTTTTTCTTCCGCAGGATTTAAAGAGTTGGTTTGTTCCAGGCTTTTCTCACATTGCGATCGTTTTCGGTTTCCCAAAGATGGTGTTCCCGCTGCAGCGTGGGCCTCATTTTCGCAGTTGCGCTGTGCCCCTGTCGTTCAGAATAGCGTTCCCGCCCCAGCGTTTGCCATTTTTCTGGGTCCTACAGGTCTCGCAAGTCCCACCGGTCTCGCAGGTCTCGCAGGCCCCCCAGACCGCAGGGCCCGCAGGTGTCGCAGGTCGTCCCACAGGCACCACAGATCTGACAGGTTCCACAATGACCACAGGTGTCGCAGGTCTCACATGTCGCACATGTCCCGCAGGTCCCGCAGGTCCCACAGGCTCCAGAGGCGTCGCATGCTTCATCGGTTCCACAGAGGTCCCCCAGGTCCCTCACGTCCCACGGGCCCCGGTGGTCCCGCCGGCGCCACAGGTCCCACAGGTCCCTCTGGTCTCCCATATCCCACAGTTCACACAGGTCTTTTTTGCCCCCCAGCGAACACCCGTCCAAGCAGTACGAGCACATGCGCGTCGAAAAGATAAAGATGGTCAGGAAGCGTGCATATCTACGAGAGCGATTCCAGACTACCCCACAAACTATTGAACATGAAGCACTTTGCGTTCAGCTGAAGAAGATTATTCGCGACCTGCTGATCGACCGTCGTCGACGCGCACAAGAGCGACGCACAGAGACTGCACAGGAACTTTCACGAGCTTGGAAGCGGAGAGATAGGTCACAAACGCACGCTTAAACAATTTCGCTTTCTGTCGCTGGCAGGAGACCAAAGAAACGCTTCATGCTTGGTCCACAACAAAATATGATGGATGATTGACGCGGCCGCGGAAGGCTTCGCTCGGAAAGCTCAAGACGGCGGACTTGGAGCACGACCCGTGGACTGGACTGAATTGGCAGCGGACTATCCGCTCTTACACAAGCTTGTGGCGCCAGGGGAAGCCGTCGACCGCGCGCAGGCAGATCGCAAAGGGCAGATCTCATATCCCAGGCGCGCTCCAAGGAGGCGCGCATGTCCAGCATGGGGGGTCACGTCCGAGGCGCTTCTGATGGCAATTGACAGGAACATATATTCGAACGACGACGGCGCGCGCTCATCTTCCCTCGCACCTTCTCTCGCAGGTACAACGACCTCCTCACTTTGATTCGCGTGGTAGCTCCCGCACTTTCTTTCCGCCCAAGCACCGATGCTCGCAGGGCATTACGGGTTCAAGTATATTGCACTGCTGTGATGCGTTCGGGATGAGTTTCTACGGTCAGATGTTGCAGCGCACAAGGCGCCCTACACCCGCCCGATGAGCATGCGGATGGGGGACTTCGAGGTCGCCGTCGCGAGGGGTGTCTTTTTGCCTTGTCGTCCGCAGCTTGGCGATCTAGAGATGCACGCGCATCGCGCGCAGTCGCGAACCACGACGGCGCGAACGCATGCGCCTGCGCGGATCGGGGCAGCATGCGCGCATTGCATGCGCGCGCACCACAGCCCCATCAACAGCGCACTCTGCGAGCAGCCGTCGAAAAAGGCGGCCGCGCACGTGAGCGCCATGGACGGGGGGAATGTTCGGGCCGGCCGCGGGACCTCGATGGAACTTTTTATCAGCGGTTGATTTCGCGGGCGTTCCCACTCCTGGGGTCAGCGCGCGGCGCGAAACATTCAGCCGGGGGGCTTCAGCTACAAGCTACTGACTGGGCGCATCATCATATCGCGCAGAACAACAGACATCGGAGTGGGCACGTATACGGATGATTATCATGTATCCATGCACATCCGCAGAATCCAGCAACCCAGCACATAGCAGCGCGACTTAACCGTGCTGCTGATCCATCGCAATAACAAATTGGGAGCCGGCCATAATCTCAACGTGCAGAAGATCGCGCTCGGATTCAATATCATGGGACAGGGGCCTTTTGCGCGTGTCAGGCAGGCGCGCGCGCCGTCTCCGGCCCAGGGCGCCGTCGGTCGCGAGGCCGGGCCACCTGGCCCGATCCTTTCTCTCGACGGAGCGCTGCGCGCAGAACTCAGCATGATAATTAATTGGGGCGGCCCGCGCAGGATGGGGGCGCGTTGGGCGCGCGCGGGGCCTGCGGGCGCCCTGGGGGCTGAAGCGCATGCTCTTCTTGCGTTTTGCATTTTGGGCTGCTGCGCCGGGGCTGCCAGCGCGCGTGCTACCAGGGGGCTTCGCTGATCGATTGGACAGCGTCCCTGTGGAAATTCTTCGGGGGCTGATGAAGGGGAGCAGCGGCGGATGAGGGGGAGCAGCGGCGATCGCCGCGGGCGATTGCCGCGCGCGCAGCGGCGCCATGAGCTACCCGCGACCAGCGCGACGCAGAGGATGTCGGCTTGGAGAGAGGGAAAGGATTAGGGTGGAGAACGTGGAGACGGATCAAGATGACGTTCTCCATTATATAGTTTATCCGTCCGAGGGCGGCCCGGGCGAGGGCGGGGGGCCGCGCGGCCGTGACGCGCCGCCCTCTCCCCGCCCGAGAGCGATGCAGATCCGGACTGGGGCCCCGACAAACCAGAAGAGGATCCCGAGGGCCCGCCTGCGGCGGCGAATGACGCGGAGCAACGCCCGTCTGGTGCTCGCGCGCGCGCTGCAGAACGCGCAGCTAAGACCGCCTCGGAGGGCGAGCTCGAAGCGGTCGGGCCACGCCCAGAGGAGGGCGGGGAGCAGAGGGCCCGAGAGGATCTTTACAGGAAGGCGCAGGAAGAAGGCGAAGGAGGATGCGGGGCGCGACGGCTGCGCCACTGCGCCCCTGCACCCCCCGGCCACATATCTCCTGGCCCCGCCCCTCTCGATGCCCTCGCCGACGCGTTGCCTCGCGCTTTCGGGCCAGCGCGTTTCCGACTTGCTGGAGCGCTGGGCACGCCCGGGGATCGGCGGGTCTCGAAGGAAGAGCTGAGGCGCCCGGCGGTGGAACATGGGGCGGCGGCCTATCATGAGCTGCAACGCGCGGGGACAAGCGTGCATGGCCCTCTTCTGCTCGCCGCGGAGGAAACGGAAATGCGCCATCAGGGGATTGCCCCTCGCGTCGCAGGAAGGTCGGAGGCGGCGCGCCGCGCGGGGC